GACAGTAACAAGTAATTAGAACAGAATAAGTTTATTCCATCTTAAAACACCTATCTGTCAAGATTTGTTTATGACTAAAACGGGACTAAAAGAACAACAACAAGACATTGGCAAATGAATTGTAGATGGATACACAATAAAAAAAAAAAAAAGAAGCATAGGAATCTAGAGATGACAGCATGATGACAACAGAATCAGGTGAGTGTAGTTAATAAAAATGTGTTTAGCCAGATTAATACTCAATAAAAAAAGAGTTCACTAAATTAGCTGTTTTATTTTTGCTCTTTAGATCCTTCACTTTTACCTCAGGGTGGTCATGTGGCTGGAAACTCTTGGCTTTTTCTTACAGGAACATCATTGGTAGTGCACCGCCTAAAGCCTTCAGTTTTATTTAAAATTATTAGCTTTATAAAGGATCATCAAATAGCTTTTTTTTTTTTTAGGGAGACCTGGAAAGGAAGGCACCAACACTTTCAAATGATCCCATTACAAATAAATCCAAATAAAAACCAGAACAGGTTCACAGCCAAATCATAAGCAGCCACTAAGCAAACTTTTTATTGCTCTGTTTCGGCTGATTTAAACTTTCCAAGAGGAACCATTTCTTAGTTTCAAGTTTGTATGCCAATTATTCAATGAAACTGAAGGTTAAATCTTTTATTTCCTAATCATTGTTCACTCTGGGATCAGTACAAGTATCCAGGTATATATTATATCTCCCTGAAGGATTTTTAGTATCAGCCAGTGAAGAGGAATGATCAATCTTCCCTTGTGATAACCATTGATTTCTCTGTACTTAAATTCAATCCTTATCCATGTCTTATGCTCTCTACTTGTCACTGAAGAAGCTGATCAATACATATTTGGGAAACACACAGAGGTGTCAAAAGTATACACATTTGTTACTTAAGTAGAAGTATAGATTCTGCAGTTCAACTTGACCTCTTTACTAAAGTAAAAGTGAAAACATATGTGCTCCAAAAACTACTTAAAGTATAAAAGTATAAAGTGACCTTTAGAAAAACAGCCAGATGCCACTCTATGAATTGAAAGCTACATTTGTTGACTATTTCGAAAAATTCTTGGGGATAGGGCCAAGGATGAGGGAGGCCTTGTTGGTCTCCGTCTCCAGATAAGCTCTCGCCTGTGTCTGACCTTTCAGACATTTCGACATCTTTTTCTGAATCCAGCATTGTAGCATGACATAGACAATTCACATTTGCAGTCTGAAGCTAACACCTGCTTGCTTCTGATGATTTCCTTTAGCTAACCAATTTCAATTCAATTTCAATTCAGTTTATTTATATAGCGCCAAATTCACAACACATGTCATCTACAATGAGTGTTTGCGTTATATGACTTATCCAATTACACTAGTTTTCACTAGATGTGGATGGAGCCAAAGATCTGCATTGGATGGCGCACATGACGTGAAATAAATATTTATAAACATTAAACCGACGTCCAGAGTAACTAGTAACATTTGTTTTAAAAATGTAAGGAATAGAAAGTACAGATACTTGTGTGAAAATGTAATGAGTAGAAGTCAGACGTAGGAAGAAAAATAACTAATGGAGTAAAGTATAGATACCTCAAAAGTGTACTTAAATACAGTAACAAAGTATTTGTACTTTGTTACTTGACACCTCTGGAAACACATGTAATGAAAACAAAGAAAGAGACCCTTAAACATGTGGCACATATACACACACACAAGGAAGATGTAACAACAACAGAATTAAATCTTTATATGGAGAGGACTCTACAACTCACTTCACAAGATATGAGATTGAGTTTTGGTTTGTTTAATATAAACTGCATGTGGATCATTTCATTTTTATTTATATATTTTTACAGTGCATGAAGAACTACTGAAATTATTTTCAGATTATACATTTCAATTTCAATTCAGTTTATTTATATAGCGCCAAATTCACAACACATGCCATCTCAAGGCACTTTACAGTTCAACCAGATCATACAGTCAAATTGATTCAAAGTTTTCTATCTAGGGAAAACCAGTTGATTGCATCGACTCATTGACTCAAATACAATCCCTCACACTAAGCATGCTTGTAGCGACAGTGGAGAGGAACAACTCCCTTTTAACAGGAAGAAACCTCTGGCAGAACCAGGCTCAGTGTGAGCGGCCATCTGCCAAGGCTGACTGGGGTTCAAGGAGACAGAAGCAGAGATACAAAAAGCAGCTGTAAAAAGGCGGCCCCGTCCAGGAAACACACAGCCAGGCAGACGAGCTCCGAGCCAGCTCCCATGTCAGAGGATGAAGAGAGCACATCCAGCCAGTCACGGTCAGAGAAACAGGACTACACTGGAAAACAGGCTGATCTCCAGCATCTATAAACAAGGGTGTTGATGGAAGCAGCACAGCTGATGTTTCTCTCCAGGATGACGTCACAGCCAAACAGGAACAGACAAGTCAAAGCTACTCTGAGGAAAAGCAGAGAGAGCAGAAGGTTAGAGATTGAACTAACAGATTCTGCAGAATAGGAGAATAGATAGAGAACGAAGCAGAATGATGAAATGGGGGTCCCTATGTCCTCCAGAAGTCTAAACCTATAGCAGCATAACTATATAGATAACTCAGGATAACCTGAGCCACCCTAACTATAAGCTTTATCAAAAAGGAAAGTTTTAAGCCTAGCCTTAAAAGTAGACAGGATGTCTGCCTCACGGACTAAAACTGGTAGCTGGTTCCACAGGAGAGGAGCCTGATAACTAAAAGATCTGCCTCCCATTCTATTTTTAGAAATTCTAGGAACCACTAGTAAACCTGCAGATTGAGAGTCAAGTGCTCTGTTAGGAACATAAGGAACAATCAGATCTCTGATATCAGATGGAGCTTGGCCATTTAAGGCTTTATATGTGAGAAGGAGGATTTTAAATTCTATTATTGATTTAACAGGAAGCCAATGAAGAGAAGCCAGGATAGGAGAGATATGATCTTTCTTTTTAATTTTCATCAGAACTCTGGCTGCAGCATTTTGGATCAGCGGAATACTTTTAACTACAGTTTGTGGACTTCCTGATAGTAAAGAATTACAATAGTCCAGCCTTGAAGCAACAAATGCATGGACTAGTTTCTCAGCATCACCCCTGGACAGGATAGTTCTAATTTCTGCAATATTCCGCAGATGACAGAAGGAAATTCTAGAAACCTCATTGATATGGGATTTAAATGACAGGTCCTGATCAAAAACAACACCAAGATTTTTTTACTTTATTATCTGAAATCAGTTTAATCCCATCCAAATGAAGTGACTGATGAATATTTTTCAAAGACTCTGATCCAAAGACTATAACTTCTTTTTTGTCTGATTTCAGAAGCAGAAAGTTAAGAGCTATCCAGGTTTTTATGTCTTCAGACATGCCTGTAATCTATGTAATGGGTTAGCTTCATCTGGATTTATAGACAGATATAGCTGGGTATCATCAGCATAACAGTGAAAATTTATCCCATGCTTTCAAATAACTCTACTGATTGGGAGCATGTATAAAGTAAAGAGAATTGGTCCTAGCACTGATCCCTGTGGTACTCCACAGGTAACCTTTGAGCATGAGGAAGATTAGTCGTTAACTTGAACAAACTGAAATCGATCACATAGATAAGACTTAATTTCCAACTAAATATTCAAGTCTTTCTAAAATAATATTTTGATCAACTGTATCAAATGCAGTGCTGAGATCCAACAGAACAAGCACAGATACAAGTCCATTATCTGAGGCCATGAAAATATCTTTAGCAACCTTCACCAGAGGTGTTTCAGTGCTATGATGAGCTCTAAAGCCAGACTGAAACCTTTCAAAAAGCTCATTATGGTGTAAGTGATCTCACACTTGTTTGGACACTACTTTCTCAAGAATTTTAGATAAGAAAGGAAGATTGTATATAGGTCTATAATTGACCAAGTCATCTGGGTCAAGAGACGGTTTCTTAAGCAAAGGTTTAATTACAGCAACGTTAAAAGCCTTTGGTACATATCCCTGTAACAGAGATAGATTAATCACATCTAAAATGGAGGAGGAGATCAAAGGAAATACTTCCTTAAATAACCTGGTTGGAACTGGATCTAACATACAAGTTGAAGGCTTAGATGAAGACAATAGTTTTGCTAACTCCGAAATTTTAACTGGATCAAAGCAGTCTAAACCCGGGTCAGATTCCATGACTACCATGGAATCTGACCCTCCAGAGTCAAACCAATCGTAAAGGGAGGAGTGCTAATGATCTTATTTTTAATAAGATCAATCTTATTTATAAAGAATCCCATAAAATCATTACTGCTAAGAGCAGGTGGAATGGACGGTTCAACTAAGCTATGGCTCTGGGTGAGTTTGGCAACTGTATTAAAAAGATATCTATCTACCTTCTCACTGTCTCTCTCACCTCAAATTCTGAATCCTAAGTTCTGAGTTCATTAGAGGAGCTGTTTTAAAAAGACAAATGGACACATGTTTAGGCTCTTAGAAGATGAACTGCACTGAGAAAGGTAAAACCATATATTGTTTTTTTTTTTACCACTACAATACCATGTATCCGTTGTGTTAGTATATTACATAAAATCCTGATAATATATTTGTAATTTAAAGTCAAAATATGAAAACATATAAATTCATAAGGGTATAAATACCTTACCTTTGTATTGTCTTTTCACATTTAATTTCCTTCCTCCTAGGGAATCTTTTCCTTTATTATCACAAAGGCTTTAGGCTTCCAGAATATTTCCCCAACAGTCTATTCAAGAAACTCAGTTTCATTGAATGGACTGAATCTTTATTTCATCCTATTGAAACCATCTAAAATGTTTTTAAAGCAACCAGTCCAAACCAGGATGGGACATTTTCAAATAAATGATCATTCACTTAAGATTTATTTTTCCAACTTCTGGATGTTTTAAATATAACCATAAAATATTGTTCCCGCACCTGAGATAGCAGTTTCTAAACAAAAATACCTCTACAATGATTAATGACATTTCCAGTGTGGTTTGAATAAACTATTTATTTTCTACATTTGTACATTTCACAGATGGGTTTCTTCATTCCTGTGCAGCCCACCCTGATTTGTTGCCTGGCAGCGAGTCTTGCCCCATCGTACTGCTGCAAGGCCAGAACACAGGTCCAAACCCAAGAGTCCCCAATGGCCCCTGCAATGAAAAGCAGATGGCTGTTCCTCTGACGGCAGCCGGCTCCAGTCAGCAGTCCAGGAGAGGAAACTTCTCATTCGCTGTCATCCATCATCGAGCAGGCTGTGGGATGGAGAGGGGGGCAGGGGAGGGAAGACAGAGTAACGCCTGACAGACGGCGTCTGGCCTTTTTCAAACGCCTCTGCATGGTACATTTAGGGCTCACACTCACATGTAAAAACACACATGAAGAAGGATTCTTGCTGACACCCACAGAGAGGCTGAAATATTCCGGCTCAGGCCTCTGTGACTCGTCTTACATTAGCAGTACTATTCTTTTCCGCATCAGGTCAATGGTAAAATGCTGATTCTGGTTGTTCTTCATGTCTGAAAGAGAAACAGAAAAAGTTCTGTTTAATCTCGTTCTCTTTTGCTCATCTTTGATGTTTTTAAAGATATCCTGTCATGAGGTTCCGCAGGAGTTGTAAAAGTAGATGAAGAGAGAAAATGAGAGGGAAAGGAAAGAGATGGAGCACATTGAGTAATGTACCTGACAGCTAAGGATCATTAATCACTGTCAGAGTGGAAAGGAAAGGAGGGAGAACAGGGAGGAGGGGTTGGGGTGGCATTTGACGTGGCAACACAGACAAAAAAACCCAACTGGCCTCTCTCCTACACACAGCTTCACACATTCTTTCACAGACCTCCTGCGTTTCCATCCCTGTCTTCACTACAATTATTTCTCATGACAGAACAGTTTTCCCAAAATGTCAAAAAAAAGACTGAATGGCAAACGATAAAAAGGAGAGAAACAAGCAAACCAACAAACACACACATACTTAGGCACACACCCGGAGTCCTGTCATGTTTGGGCATTGCTCAGACTAATAGGGGCTGCCGAGGGTTTGACTCTGCGCGGCAGGCCGCCACCGCACAGCAAGGACGGCCATTCACAGCCTGTCAACCCGCCCTGCAGCAAGAGGCATCGACAAAGACACGCAGAATGGGGGGCTCTCACAAAGAGATGAAGGCGACGTGGTGACTTCAAATCTCAAACATGCAGACATGCACAAAAAGACAGCCACGTACACACACATCCTTGTCTCCCACACTTATCCTGTCCTCCATGCAGCGGGGACAGCAGCTGGCCTGTTCCACTGTCACTCACACTGATGAATCTACTCAGCTGTGTCCAAGTACTGTCCTCCCACCTTCCTGCCACTATTTGTTTGATTTTTCTTTACACTTGAATTAAACTAGTTCACAAAAATCTTGCCAGTTTTTCTTGCATCAATCAACTACTAAAATAAGCAGAGATGAATGTAAAGTTAACTATTTCTGTCATTAGGAAGTGATAACGGGGAAAGTTTTTGACAACTATTAAAATGATAGCTCATATGTTGAACACTATGTTGGTTTCTTTTAAAATGTTTAAAGATATTTTAAAGTGAGCTCACTGATGTTTCCCTAACCATACAGCTCATTCTGATCTCTGGGAGCTATTGTGTCGATCCAGCTACTGTTTTATATTGCATATGTTTGGGTTGTTTTGCTAGATTGTTCAGACAGCAGCAGTGTCTTAGTTCAGGGTTGAAGTCCAATGATCCAAAGTTTAGCAATTGGGTGGCCTTATCTCTTCTTTTGGCTTTGGTTTCAGTGTCTACCTTTGTACCATTTTATGCAAGTCGTGGAACTTGAGCAACTTGAATCCCAACAAATAACTGGAAAAATTAAGTATTCTACAACATTTGATGTATTAAGTGCAAAATCTTAAAAAAAAAAAAAAAAAAACTTTTTTTTTTATTGTTACAGAAGAAAAATCTGATTTATGGTAATGTTATGCTGAAGACCATAAAGTTTGGTCAGTTAAATTTGACCTGTGTCACAGCTCAGACACTTGGACCCAGAATTCAGGCAGACAGAATAAGTAGTTTAAAGGAAAATCACTTTATCAAAAGCTCTGGATTTTGCAAGGCATCAGCTAGGAATGGGTCGCTGAATTCTCTGGTTATAAGTTTATAAAGCTGGTGAAGATTCTCAGTCATCTAGGTCAAAGTCATTCCAAAAAAGTGAAAAAAAAAAACCTCTGGATTTTTTTTCCAGGTTTGAAGACGCTTCACTTCCCATCCAGGAAGCCTTTTCCAATTCAAATGTCAGAAATAGCATTGAGTTGCTTTATACAGTAGTCGAAACAAAGCCTTGTTTTTGCTTAGATAACATGCAAAATGAAACAAACAGGTCAACCCCTTTGCAATAGGGGTCGTTTGGCTTCTTTTGTAAGGCTGCAATGCCCAATACCTGTCTCTGAAAAGGGTGTTGTTAAAGGGAATTCGCTGCTGCTGGCCTTTCATTATCAATTTCTAACTTGGTAAATTATACAAAGAAAAAATATTTGATGAAAAAAATTATTTAATTCAAACCCACCAAGCAAAGATTGGTTGAAAAGACGACATGATTTACACCTGAAAAAATCTACATTCAGTTGAAAAGTGAAAGGTGGAAAAGCCGTAAGTTTCAGATCATTGAAAAGCATCTTTTCAACATCTATTACTGGACTAAATTGGGACAAAATCATACCAACCAAACAGCACAATTTTCAACAACAATTTGTGGAATAAATCAAGACTGTGATGGACAAACAAGATCTGGCCTAAAAACCGTCTAAATGACATCTGTTGTTTGGGGGGGAAATATTTTCTTCTGATTAGATTTGTTTACAGATTTAAAAATCTGTAAACAAATCTATTGCTTAATGTATTTTTTCATTTCTTTGAATTTTCTTTTCTTTTTAATTATTTTTCTTTTGTATATAGTGATTTAGTTCAACATTAGTTAAGCAGTTAAGTTGTTTGTTGACTAGATGTTTAAACTTAAAGCTACAGTGTGTAATTTTCAGCGACATCTAGTGTTCAGACTGCAGACCGCAGCAACATGAACATCTCCCCCCCACCGCTCCCCACCCCCAACAGCGTTACGGGACACAAAATGTCTTCTACGACGTCCGCATCACCTACCTTCTCAAGTGATGAGGTTTGTTTACATAGATAATTTTACAGATAGTATTTCATTAGTCTGTGTGTTCAGTACCGTCTCAGTTAATCTCTCTCAACTTGCCGTAGTTACTTTCGAGCGTAATGGGCGATCTCGCAATCGCTAGTTTGTTGGCTCTGCGCTGCCGTAGCGCAAAGATGTCTGCCTCCATGGCTGCGAGACCCGCTCCTATGTAATTATAAATAACGAATTCTAAGGCAACGCAAATATTAAGGTTAAGAGGCTGAGCTCGTATATGATTAAAAATAACATAGTTATGTATAATATATTACATTTCTGACTGTATATCCCTGTAATTATTACACACTGTAGCTTTAAGTCTTGTTCAGTTTATTCAACAGGAAAAATATCCCCCAAACGGATAATATTATTGAAGAAAATTTAATCTAAGATTTTTTGCATCAATCTTAATACTGAAACATAAACTCAATGTCCACTCAATCAATCCAAAGTCATTAAAAATCGAGCACAATAAAACATTACATAATACATAATTCCAGAATTCAGTGCTGACCCTATTGTTTTCTAATAACATTTTCCTGACATTAAAAGAATAGCTCCTTAGGTCAAAGGAAAGTTTGACCTAGGTTTGAGTGGGAGTTTGTGCCATTCTTGTATCACTTTGAATGCAAAGGCTGTTTGTGTAAATGCTGAGCTATGTTTGGCTTTCTGTAGTCATTGCAGCCAGTGTACCTCTTGGCTGGCAGTTAAGATTGGAGCAGGAAAATGTTTTTTATAAAGTCATTAAACTTGCCTGCATTTCCCCATAAACTACAGAGGGAATCTTTGTATTTTCAACAGCGACACTGTAGGTGAGCAGAGTTGATAGAAAGATAGACCATGCAAAGGATGTGTAAGTCCACAAAAACAACCTTGCGTGAAAATACAAAGGACTATTGAATACCCATTTAAAGTCGTAGGGAAGCGACTGTTCCTACGATTGCAGTTCCGAATTCTCCTCGAGTGGTGCCCAACTTTACACGAGTGAATAAAGTGAATGCAATTGGTCGATTATCAAGGGGGCTGGATTGTTGTGGCGGAAGGTAACAAGCTATTTAGTTGTGGCCGGTGTCCCTGAAGCATCTTGCTAACCAGTTAGCAACTTATTGCTAGTAGGTTCCCAATGGGAAATGACATTGGAACCAAGTAGCACTTAGCAACAACAGTCAAGGAACGCTATGGAAAGTGGAAACATGCAAGAGGAGGAGAGTTTTTTGTGGGAGGTCGCAGATGAGTCTCTTCCGTCATACATTTTTCATTTAGTGGAGGAAAGCGGGGACGAAGATGTTATAGAAAAGGACACCAGGGCCGCAGAAGCTTTGTTTGATATAGAAGCCGTAAATATTGGAGCCCTTGCCTCGCAACACAGTTCTATTAGCTCTACGCCTGCCGAAGACACAGATGTCCATCCCCGTGAACACTGGGACGTAACTCAATGAAATGATTCTTATTTAAACCGTTGCGTATATTAGCTGCGGCATATGAATAAAGATGCTATGACCAAAAAAATTTGATTGACAGATGACCATTGATACTTGATTGGCCGAATTTAGGTGTACAAGCTGACATAACTAACTGGCCATCATTTAATAGCGGAAAAAACAACACAGATTTTAAGAAAGGATTTTTTTTTTAAAGTAGAAATTTTCTAACTTTTGGAACAATATGGTCTGATAAAGAGTACATTTATATACATGTTTAAGCCAGAATGATTTGAAATTTAAATATGACTTCCCTATGAATTTATTATCCTGTTCAACCGTGTATAATAATCCTTCTTTAAAAAAAAGAAGAGATCTCAGCTGTCATTCATTTATTATATACCCCCATACACCTTTTCTTCCTTTGGCACCTTCTGGTGAACTGTTAAGTGCCTTGAGATGACATGTTTTAAATTGCTGCTATATAAATAAACTGAATTGAAATTAATTGAATATTTGGGCTGATGTAACAACTAAATTTCTCCACTGTGAGATCAATAGAATCAATCAGTTAATCAATCAAAGGACTTTAAAGGACAGTAACCCCAAACAGACATCTGGAGCTTCACTGGAATATTATATATCAAATCAGTCACTCAAAACATCTCAGCTGTATTAAGACTTGAACTTTTATGTTTATAGAAGCTCTTCATCCAATCTGCCTGGCCCTAAGCTATTTCACAAAGAAGACTGACTCAGTCAACCTGTGCAAAGATAGAGACAAGACCTACAGCAGTAAAAAGTGGTGACACGCCACTTCTGTCATGACCCTATCTTTTTTTTTAAATAACTGTATACCATTTACTGAAGCTCAAAAAGCTACTTTTACTATACAATTGAATTCAAGGGTAAGAA